CCGATAGTGTTTGAATTTTATTCTTTTTTCTACAAATCCAAATCGCTTGAAATTTTAATCGTTTGTTCATCAAGAATAGGTGAATCTTCAAAAAATATAAAAAAACATGAAATAAATTGACCAAAATACCCTTGAAAAGTTTCGAAGGGTATTTTGGTCATTTTGATTTTGATAAATAATTTTTTATTAAGTACGCCTTAATGAGAAGAACACATACCTAAAATTTCAAATGATTTGAATTTGTAGAAAACAAAATAAAATTCAAGCACTACCGAACATCCGTGATCGTCAGATCCGTCCAGATTCAATCTAGGCCGTTGGACTCATATGTTCATGTAAGCTAGTAGGCTAACCCGAGTTTTTTCTTATATATATATATATATATATATAAGTAACTTTTTAAAAACAAGTCGTGCTTTCCATAAAGTTGCAGCCTTAAACAATCCATTTAAAGCACACCTTTAAATTTTATCATAACATATAACTTTGATGTAAAATATTCTTTATATTATCTCAAAATCTAGTTTCAAATCTAATTATAAAATTTTAAACTCCAAAAATGATTAAAATCAAATAGATCTATAAACATATGAAACTCTTGAAAATGGACGGTTTAGATAATGTGTTGTAAGATGCACCATTTTTAAGGCTCAAAATCTTTTTTTTTATGGTCATACATTTTAATGTCGAGATGATCAATTAGAAGGTTTTTCAACATTAAAATAACCTTTACTGATGGATTTTTGTTGTGCAGTAGTTCGACATTTTAAAGTTATATAAACTTTTCCCTTTAGAACAAAAAGTTCAATTAATTTTTTTACAAATAAATCTTTTAGCACATTATCTAGGCCATTAATTTTCAAGAATTTCAAAGTAGCTATAAATCTTTTAGCCAACCCGGTCATGCTTGTGCAAGTGCCGGTCCCAATCCCAAATAAAGGCATAAGGTCGTGTTAAACAAGACAACCAACGTAAAACTTTACCACAACTTTTTATAAAACCTGAACATTATAGATCTGCTCGATTTATACCATTTTGAATAATTTAATTTCATAATTAATTTTAGATTTTCAGCATCAAAAGTGCATCTCTCACTAGCGCTTGAGGTATTTTGATTGTTTAAGGTGGGAGCCTTATATAGAACGTACCATTGATTTTATTGCTTTCCAAGACTCTTTTGTGAATAGTGTGCTCCAAAGAGAGAGAGAAAGAGAGAGGGAGAGAAAGAGAGAGAGCAAACAACCGCATCATCAATTAGTATTTCATATTTCAGCTGCTAGTCAATATTCTTGCAAGAAGAGAAATGGCATTGAAATATTTGGAAGACAACTACAAAGGTACAAACCGATGTAGAGCAACAGTAAAGAGAAGGCCTATGCAATATTTGTAAGACAAGGACAACAAATGTGCAGCAAAATTCTAAACCATCTATACAATGTTTAAAGTTTTAAAAAAAAAACAAGAAAACAAATGTGCAGCAAAAGAAAATAACCAGAATCACTGCAGGATCGATAATGGACAGAGATCTCAAGCTAAACGATACAAAACATTGAGAATAACATGAGAGAGAGAAACTTGAGAGAGAGAGAGTGCTATTTGCTTCCCTCGCCAAGCAAAACCCTGTGAAGATTGAAGACCTCACCTTGATCTCCATTTAGGGCCCTCCTTTCCAAGCAACAAGCAGTCAACTGCCTCAAGAGCCTCTCAAGACATGAATGCAAGCAATTCTTTGAATCCTTTGAGTTAGGGTTTGTTGACAAAATCATAGCATTCACAGCATCTGCAGCCACCTCTCTCTGGGCTACATCGAGAAGGTAGCCAACAGATGATTTTGATGGTTCCTCATAGGCCAGTAAGGCTATGCAATCCTGACGAAAACCCGGCCAAAACAAGATCGTGAATTTCTCTTTTTCCCTTTCTCTTAAGATTCAAATAAAAGCATGTCAGACTTCTCAAAAAGGATATACATATGATAGCGTGTTTCCCCTGGAACACCAATTTGGTTGTTCCACCCAACTCAAAACTCTTTTTCACGTGTGGAAAGGTCCAAACCCACAGCCAACCCCAAAAATAATTTGGACTGTCAATTTCGATGAGGGTTTTTGCGGTTCTTGAAACTCCAAATCAAATCAATTTTGTAAAAGATTGGTTATGAGACAGCTTGGAAATTTTTTGGGCCCCACAACTCCTCAAAAGTGGAGGGCACAGACCACCAAGTTTGGTGTTCTAGGCAGAACGCCAACATTCCCCACATATAAACAACTATATAGCATGCATACATGTAAGGCAAATGTATCCTATCATGAGCTCACTATCCATTGATTAACAAAGTGTGACACTTCTTTGACCAAATAATTATTGCTTGTATTATGAATACCTGAAGAAGATCCTCATAAGGCTTCATTGCAAAAAACCGTGCCAGTTCGGCCCGCGCATATGTTACTGCCTCTTCTAGGAGTCCAACCTATGCATGCAGTGAAATATAAATGTTAAAGCCAATGGAAAACGTACTTGGGGGCAACTAAAGAGCCAACTTCTAGGGGCAACAGATACATGATTCATAATAGACATATAACAAACTTACACCTTTTCCTACCATGAATTCAACTAAATTGGAAAAAGAAAAGAAAAAAGAAAAAAAAGAAACCACTAGAAAAGGTAAAAGGTGTTGAAGACCAAAGCTTTGTTGTATGGAGATTCCAGCAAGGGTAAAACATATGGAGATCCTAGCCAG